CCTACTGTGCATTGGAATTTTTTCCTTTTAATTTTGTTGCTGTTAGAAATAGCAAACATTAGCATACTCGTACAAATATACCTTATTTTTATGCAAATAACACGTGCCTTCTGCATTTGTTTACTCCCCCCATGACGCACCCTCATAGCACTGTCATGCCAGTCCTTTTCCATTTGTTGCTGTAAAAAGAATTAGCATAGTACACTTATGAAAATAGCTCTCAGTGGGAGGGCATGGCCAGTAAACAGACACAGAAGGTGCGTGTTATTTGAGTAAAAATATGGTAGGAACTATTTTTTCATTGAAAAGTTGCCACACTTTAATTTTATAACTTAACACTTCTGAAATTCCATATATTGACTATTACTGTAAGTGATGTTTTTTTCCCCCTGCATAGAAATGCCTTGGAAGACAGGCCTGGTGATCTGCTTCTAAAAGGTCACAGCCTTGAAAACCCTATGGAGCAGTTCTACTCTGCATTCATGGGATCACCGTGAGTTGGACTGGTCACAAAGGCAGCCAACAACATAATCAATAGTCTCGCTGTTGTTATTAGTTGTTGTCAAGTCGATTCCGACTCATGATGATCCCACGTGTGCAAAATAGAGCTGTGTTCCATAGGGTTTTCAAGGCTGAGACCTTTTGGAAGCAGATCGCCAGGCCTTATTTCTGAGGTGCCTCTGGGTAGGTTTGAACCACCAACCTTTGGTTAATAGTCCAGTGCTTAACCATATGCGCCACCCAGGAACTCCTAATTAGTAGTCTTAGAATAAAGGAGCTACGTTATTATCCTCTATTTCTCAGAGGAAATATTCAGTTAAAAGGTGTGATAGTTCTCATTCTATTGTTACTAGATTTTTTTTTTTTTGCGCTTTAAATAAAAGTTTACAGTTTGTTAGTTTCTCATACAAAAATTTATACACACACTGCTGTGTGACCCTAGTTGCTCTCCCCATACTGTGACAGCACACTCCTCCTTTCCACCCCAGATTTCCCATGTCCATTCAACCAGCTCCTGTCCCTCTCTGCCTTCTCATCTCACCTCCGGACAGGAGCTGCCCTTTTAGTCTCATGTATGTACTTGAGCCAAGAAGCACACTCTTCACCAGTATCAGTTTATGTCTTATAGTCCAGTCTAATCTTTCTCTGAAGAGCTGGCTTTGGGAATGTTGTAGTTTTGGGCTAACAGAGAGTCTGGGAGCCATGTCTTTTGGGGTCCCTCCAGTCTCAGTCAGACCATTAAGTCTGGTCTTACGAGAATTTAAGTTCTGCACCCCACTTTTCTCCTGCTCCACTGGGGACTCTCTGTTGTGTTCCCTGTCAGGGCGGTCATTGGTGGTAGCCCGGCACCATCTAGTTCTTCTGGTCTCAGGCTGATGGAGTCTCTGGTTT